TTATACTATTCCTAACACCACCACCACCACCACCCCTCCGCTGACTATTTTGTACCTACCAATTATGCTTCTTATTTCCTGTACTTCCCCTCCCATAACCCTCCATGTGATCTCCATTTCTATGATTATGTTCCTATTCTAGTTGTTGGCTTAGATGGTTTTTGTTTTTTTTTTAAGATTTCATTGTTGATAGTTGTGAGTTTGTTATCATTTTACTGTTCATAGTTTTGATCTTCTTTTTCTTAGGTAAGTTCCGTTAACATTTCATACTGTATTTTGCATAATGTCTACCCATGTTTTTGGCCCAAACTTTCAGGAAAAAATCTTGCATTTTACTTTTATAATTCAATTTTTTTACTCATTTACATTTAGAAACAAAACTGATTATCGTATTCCAGGGTATTATTTTGCATACAGATACCGTTACTGCTTTCTAGAATTGCACCTTTAACTCATAAGGATAAATAAAAGAATTTGAAACATTTATATAGATATGGAAATAGTACTACCCATGTATAATACACATCCTTATTTTTCCCTAAAAAATTTGGGCAAGAAAGTGTGCATTATGCACGGCAAAATACTGTAATAAGAGCTTGGTGATGATAAACTTCTTTGACTTTGCCTTGTTGTGGAAGCGCTTTATCTGCCCTTCCATTCTAAATGATAGCTTTGCTGGATAGAGCAATCTTGGATGTAGGTCCTTTCTTTTCATCTCTTTGAGTAGTTCTTGCCAGTTCTTGCCTGCAAGGTTTCTTTTAAGAAATCAGCTGATTTCTAGTCTTATGGGAATCCCTTTGTGGGTAACTATCTCCTTTTCTCTTGTTGCTTTTAAGATTCTCTCTTCATCTTTAACCTTTGGCATTGTAATTATGATGTGTCTTGGTGTGGCCCTCTTTGGGTCCAACTTGTTTGGAACTCTGAGCTTCCTGGACTTGTATGTCTATTTCCTTTGCCAAATTGGGGGTGTTTTCTTGCATTAGTTTTTCAAATAAATTTTCAATTTCTTGCTCTTCCTCTTCTCCTCCTGGTACCCCTATGATTCGGATTTTGGAAAATTTAAAGTTGTCCTAGAGGTTCCTAAGTTTCTCCTCGTTTGTTTGTTTGTTTGTTTGTTTTTTAGTTCTTGTTTCTTCTTTCCATTCCAGTTGATCATTTCTTCCTTTTGTTCCAAATCATTGATTTTTATCCCCAGCTTTACTGTTGGTTCCCTGTATTATATTTTTCATTATTTCACTTTGTATATAGCCTTCACTTCTTTGTTTTGTGGCTGTACTCAATCATTTCTCTGAGCAACCTGATCACCAGTGGTTTGGACACTGCATCCGATCGGTTGGCTATCTCCATGTCACTTAAGTTCTTTTTCTGCCGTTTTGGTCTGTTCTTTCGTTTGGGCCATACTTCTTTGTCTCCTCAATTTGGCAGCCTTCCTGTGTTTCTGTGTATTAGGTAGAGTTGCTTTGACTCCCCCTGTCTACGCACCTGTTACATTGTAAGGGGTGGAGCCTTAGGTGTTTGCCAGTGTGCTACAACCCACTTTGCTGCTTTGTGACACTACATGTGGAGGAGAGGTCAGAGAGAGAACAGTGCTGCTTGTTTGGCTCTTGCCCCATTTCCAGTTACTTCCGCACTTCCTGTAAGCATCTGCCACCCTTCTTTCTAGCTGCTGCCCTGGTGCTGATTCCAGGGCACCAGTAATGGGTGGGTTTGCCTACATTCTAGGACCCTGTGGGTCCCTTAAATGAATGGTCCTGAGAGACCAATGATTTCTTCCTCCACCCCAACCCCTACTGGTTTTTACAGCCAAAGGTGATGAAGCTTTTTTCCCAGTGTTGGAACCCTGAGCTGCGTGGTCTGGCCTGGTGCTGGGGTCGCTGGCACCCTAGTTGTCCCTCCTGGTTTTTTTCCACTGCATGTTAATGTGGGACCACCCGTTCTGCTGGTTGCCACGGCTGCGGCCTCGCCACTACCTCGCTGTGCCACACCATGTCCTCTCCACCCCTGCTACTTGTCTGGGCAAATGTTTCTTCTTTAAATCCTTGGTTGTTGGACTTCCATACAGTTCGATTTTCTGGCAGTTTGGTTGGTTTTTGTTTTTAGATTGGTTGTTGTCCTTGTGGCTGTGAGAGGAGGCAAGGCAAGTTTGCTTATGCCTCCATCTTAGCCAGAGGTCTCTACTTCTTTGAGCATTTGAGAGTTTGCCCTTGGAAGTTGAGGACAGTGTCACATACTTACTTCTTAGGTTTTGCATGAGGCAGATGATATTTGTTAATATTACTAACTCACAAGAGTAGCTTTTTTTTACCTCTTGGGATTGGAGGGAGGGGGGAAGAAAACCAACATTTAGGGGGCATTTGCACTGCCATGTTTTTTCATAAGTTTAAATTTTGATCGTTTCTGGCTGTTATTGGTGATGGATGGACCTTTGTTTTTGAGTTTGACAAAGAAAGAATTCAGAGTGAGGAACTCCAGTGCTAGAACTGCAGAGTGGATAAACTCCAGAGTGAAGTTTGTTTAGCATACAAAAGGAAAGTACACTCACAGAGAAGATTTGAGTGGGCTGCTCAGAGAGCTTCCTTGGCCTTTTGAGAGATAGTGAGAGGCAGAAGTGAGCCGCCTGGGCCCTCTGGACTCAGGATCAAGTTACAATGGCAAAAGAAGGGCCCGTAGAATTGAGGAGAAAGAAAGCAAAGATTCATACCTGACAGAGGAGGGCATGGACATACTCTGGAGAGAGAGCATGCACTGGGTCCTTTGCCTTAAGGGGTTTTTATTTTTAAGATTTTATTTATTTACTTTTATTGAGAAGGTGAGGGAGGAAGAAAGAGAGGGAGAGAAACATCAGTGTGTGGTTACCTCTCATGCTTCCCCTACTGGGAACCTGGCCTGCAGCCCAGGCATGTGCCCTGACTGGGAATTGAACTGGAGACCCTTTGGTTCGCAGGCCCACACTCAATCCACTGAGCCATACCAGCCCAGGCTGCCTTAAGGGTTTTTCATCTGTTTTCTAAAGGTAGGAATTTTAGGGGAGTTCTCAGGGGAGGATCTGAATAGAATATTCATCAGCTTTCCAGGTATGTCCTTTAATATGCTGGCTCATCAAAATAAGCATATAGGGTCAGGGTTGTGATCTCTACTGATTGGTTGGCGCTAGGGTAGGGGTTCATCAGTCATTGCCATGGTATAGCTGCATCTGGTTTTTGCTGCTTTTCTGGGCTGAAACACACCTGATGCCTGGAATGTTATGTTTCGTTTGACCAAAGCTCAGTCTCTGTGGTCAATAGACCCTGAGTCCTTGTTCCTAAGAGTATTTTATTCTGATAAGAACCGCATTGGCCTGAGGGTTTAATGCCTAAGGGAGTGGTTGTGCCAGAAAAGAGGTGGCCAGCTGGTCAGCTCTCTCAGTTTCCCTGTTCCACTTGCCAAGAAATTTTCCTAGCTTCTTACTGTCCTGCCTCATACCTACCCTGTAAAGTAGTTGGTTACATTTTCATTTTACAGTTAGGAAACTGAGGCACAGAGAGGCTAATAACTTGGCTCATAGTCAAAACTTGAGGACAAGAGAATGGGAAAGGCTTTCTAGGCAGTGCATGAAAGTGTGTGGTACATATGTGGACAAGTGGAACATCGTGGGTGGTTGGATCTACAAGTGTGTGGCATGAGATCGGAATTACACTGGTAGTATCCACATGTTCTGTCCTTAGTCTATCCTAAGGCCAGAATGTTTTTCTAAAGTGTGTATAACTGACATCATTCCACAGAGATAGATATATATGAGGTTGTATTTTGGATAATATCTAACCTTTTCTTTCTCCTTTTTTATTTTTTTCTCTGGTGGGAAAGACTTTGTACTAATTTGAAAATAGAAACCAATTTCAGTAGATAGTAAACATCTGGGCTAATGATAGTTTTGAACATAGGTGAGGAAGTGTTGTGACAAGATACTTGCACTGGCAGGGATGGAGAGTGGGGCTTGTGCATCCCATGAAGACCGTTTTGGTCAGTGGATCTTGACGTTGCTGTAATAATTGAATTTGATGTTGTTATAAAACAGTTATTGGTAACCTGATTTAGAAGTAAGTGGTATTTGTAAATAGTGATTGTGTCAGGATGTTATATAAAAATAGCACACACATACAGAGTGCTAGATAGCTAGAAGATACTAGAGGGAACACCTTGTTTTGACAGAACTTGGCCACCAACCCAAGGGGTCCCTTTAATTGGTATGTACTTGTTTTCAGGCCTGAGCCATCCAGAAGTTGAGGATGTGTTGTCTAACAAAGGTCTTGGCTTCTCATACTCAGTAGGTGGCAGGGATGGGCTTCTGCCCACTGAAGGTGGTGTAAACCATATGCCATGTCCTTAAGGAGGTAGAGTGTGTAGGTTCTGTTGTAAATATGATGTGGTTGTGTGTTGATCTGCTTTCCTTTTTTTATTTAACATTGTTTTTGAGAAGTATCCATTTTTTATGTAACTCTACTATATAATAGACTCTGCTATATAATAGTTTCATCTTTTAAAGACCATCTAGATTACTGTCAGCTGTGGAATCACCAATGATACTTCAGTAAACATTCTTGTCACCTTTGGTTTTGTGTGAGAACTTCTCAGGTATACATACCTGCGAAGAATTGTTAGGCCACTGAATATATGCATTTTAATTACACAAAATTTCAAATCTCTGAGATGGCTGCTATCAGCTTACAGACTTCTATTAGAGTACATGATACAGCAGGGTCTTTAATTTATTACTTAGATAAAAGAAACAAGTTAGGAATATAATTCCTTGGTCCTTCTGTGGTTACTGAGAAAGTTTTTGCAAACTAGTTTTCAGTAATATTAAAAGGTTTTATTCACTGTCCTTTTTAATTTTCTTCGAATAATGTTGGGCATTTATAGAGAACATAGTTTTTTCAAGGATGCCTCCATAATGCCTACGTAATTGTTATAATGTTATGATTATACTCTAAATACTAAGCTTTTTGTTTGTTGTCTTGTAGGGCGCCAATGCCTCGGCATTAGAGAAAGAGATTGGTCCAGAACAGTTTCCAGTCAATGAACACTATTTTGGATTAGTCAATGTAAGTATTCATTGATGCTTACTTAGTCTTCAAAGTTATGGTTGGGAGCATTTTTTTAAATGGCGAATGTATTTCATAATTTATTAAAGGAAACTTGTTTATTTGTATCAGTAGACATAATGCCAAGAAACTTGATTTGGAATTTTGAAGTTATATTTAATGGGTGGGAACAAGGTTGTCTGATGACTTGAGTTAATACTTGTAAACCTGATTTTCCCTATTTGTGTCAGATTCTCATAACCAAAATTTCATATGGCTTAGTCCAGATGATCTCTTGATCCTTTGAGAATTATTTAAATGTCTACATGTAAGTGGTCCGATAGTTTTGTAAATGCCTCTGTGTGTCAGTAGTATCTTTGTCAAATTACTTCTGGTGTTTTTCTACTAGTCTAGATAGAAAAATACAAAATATAGAGGAAAAATACATCCCAATCCTTGTGGAGATAATTCTAGTAATTATATATTATTAAAACTTTGGAAGAACTTCTTTAGAATTTTTAACTCTTCTATAACACTAGAAAACCCCACAAATCTGTGTTATATAATTGTAGTAATTTATACTCTTGCACTATGCTGTTAGGTGGATCCATGGTGAATGTTTAAAGAAAAAATATATACATGTATGCTAATACAGGTAATAAAGTAAGCTAAGTTCAACAACATTGATGTGTCACTGAATACTAGTGTGTAGTTATGATGTATGAGATAGATTTCTTGTGCAATTTGGGGAAAGCACTTAAAGAGCCACGTGTGTGTCCCCCTGCTTTGGGGTTCATCTCTGTAGGTGTAAAGCTTACAGTGAGGAATCAGCAGCCTCTCCCCTCCTGCCTCTCAGCAACTATTATTTTTCTAGAATTTATCCTTAGATTCTAAATAAAGTGCTTATACTTCTATTTTTAAAATCCTGCTACTTAAAAAAAATCCATTGACTTCCTGTTATGGTAGATGAGAAATTTAGCTCCTTACGCCTACCACCATCCCCTGGCAACTTTACTTTTCCCCACTGTTTCAACATGGAATTAACCATTGCTTTATTTTTTCATTTCCTTAATTTCCATGTATTCTTTCCAAAGTCTTTATCAAGACGAACAAACGAACAAAAAAATAACAAGAATTTCTCAATATCCACTGAGTCATGACCATCAGGCACACTCTCCTTTTCCTGGTAACATCCCTCCGGAGCCCTTTGTCCTGCTGTGTAGCCTTCAACCGCCATTGCTTTCTATACCCGAAGACATGCCCTTCACGTCTCTCCTTCTCTAGATCCTGTTTTCTTTCCTGGTTTTTCTCCGTGGCTTTGTGGAACATATTCGATAGCAGCTTCTTTACGAAGTGTGTGTGGGAGATAGACTTTGAAGTCTTGTGTATTTGTTTAAAACTGTTTTGGTTATTGTAACAGCTGCATATAGACCCTAGTTTATAACCTTCTGTAGGAAATCTTTTTTTATTTAACATTTTAAGGCTATACTCTCTTGTTTTCTGGCTTCTGTTGCTGCTGCTGAGAGGGCTGATATCATACTGATTCTTAATCTCTTCTGTTATATGGCTTTTTCCCCATAAAATTTGGGGGTACTTTTAGGATGTTCTGTATCTACTGCACACAGTGTTCTGAGATTTCGTGTGTCTTGGTCCCCCCGCGCCCCCGCATTACTGCACTGTTTTGTGCCTGTCCAGACTGGCAATTCATTTTCCTCAGTTCTAGAACACTTCTGATACTGTTATTTGAATAATGTCTTTTCTATCTGTGTGATTTCTTCATTCTGTGTTTTTTGATACTGTTAGTTAAATATCTCTGTATTTCTTAGTTTTTTCTCCCATATTGTTCATCCACCTTTTTAAGTTTGCATTTTAGGCTATTTCTTTGGCTTTTTGTCTAGCTTATTACACTTTTTATTTCTTAGATTGTTACTTTTTCTTTTTAATTTTGCTTCATTAAGGCAATATTTCTGTTGTTTTTCTCAGGTTAGTATTTACAGTTTTATTGTTGCTGAGGTTTTCATATACTTACCAGACTGTTTCTGAGACCTCTAAGCTCATTCTGCCCCCACCACCCCTTGCCCCTGGTTTAAACTATGGGTTTTTTTCCTGTTAGAAACATACCTCAAATTCAGTTCACATATAAAAGTGAAATTCTAAAAGGCTGATCGGGTTACTGTAGGCAGAACTTGTGTAGCATGGGTGTCACTGCAGAGTGAGGCCCTGGCAAACAGAGTTTTAAGAAAATAGCTCCCTGTCCATCTCCCCCCAGCACACACCCAACTTCAGGAGCTATATCATGTTCTCTGGGGCTGTTCATTACCTCCTGGGAGCACTCCTCCAGTCTCTGTTGAGGGGTGGCTTAGTGTGGCCTTTATTTAACCCTCTGTTTCCTGTTAATTGCCTCACTGCTGTCCCTCAAGGTTCTTGACCAGAGCCTCCTGGTCGACTTCTGTGGAGCTGAACTCTACCATTGAAAGAAAGGTTTAGCCCTGGCTGGCGTAGCTCAGTGGATTGAGCGTGGGCTGTGAACCAAAATGTCGCAGGTTCGATTCCCAGCCAGGGTACATGCCTGGGTTGCAGGCCATAACCCCCAGCAACCGCATATTGATGTTTCTCTCTCTCTCTATCTCCTTCCCTTCCCTCTCTAAAAATAAATAAATGGAATCTTTAAAAAAAAAAAAAAGAAAGGTTTATAAGTGTCAGGGGTTGAAATGGTCCTTTTGAACACTTACGACCAGACTTCCAATGTTAGGTGCAGGGCACCCCCCCCCCCCAACACACACACCCCCCAAATCCCCAGGTCTTCGGGTGTGAATAAGTTTGTTTTTTCCCTCTAATGGGTGCTAGGGCTTCTGCTTTGTTTCCATCTGCCTTTTATCCTCTGTAAGTTTGTTAACATATTTAGTCCATGGTTGTCTTGGAACTTCTGAGGTTTTCCCTGATCTGTTCTTTTACTGTCATTTTATTAGGGTTTCATGGGGAGTAGAGTTTAAATGAGTGTATTTAATTTACCTTATTTATCGAGACATTTGATCTCTGCTTCTAGTATTGGATATGTTTATGTTTACATACAGAGTTGTCTAGTGATCAAAAGCTTCATTTAAATTCTAGGGATGGCAGAACCCTGGTTTCTTCACTCTCCTTTCTACTTCACTGTGGCTGTCTTTGCCTTTATTTGATTCAGATCCAACACTAATGTGTGTACTGGATTGTAGTCAAGTTGTGCCCATTGATAGTGTCCCAGAAGAACCCACTTTTAAAAGAACAACAGTATTTTATATATCGAAAGTTGTTTGCTTTTAACCTTTACTGGTATAAATACAGGGCAGGGCAAAAGTAGGTTTACAGTTGTTTGTATGGAAAATAATACAATAGTTACTAAGTAATAGGAGGATAAACTGTATTTTGTGTACTCACAACTGTAAACCTGCTTTTGCCTAGTCCTGTATTTCAACCCCTCCACTTTGTGTCCAACTTTTTTGCACATAGCCTCAGAACAAGCGAAACAACAACTTAGATAAAATTATATAAATGAGTACTAAAGTTCTGTTTTTTCTGATGTTTTTAATTTAATGTGATAACTATCAAAATTCCAGTGTTGATTGTGTAAAAAAAAAGGGTTTCTAAGAAAGTATCACTTTTATTACTCCTTATGGATCAATCTGAGTTCAAAAGGTAGTTTTTGTGCTTCTCCCTCAAGCTGAGAAACTGAAATTCAGTGAAATCAAGAGAAACGGAAAGGAGTGAAGGTGGTAAGAGACCACCCGAGGATGCTCAGCGTTTATTCACTTGATGAGTAGAAGTTAGTTTCTGAACTCTGTTCCTATTTATGATGATGAAGAATTGAGATCTCTTAAAGTAACCAGGACTCTAGCTATGAAAGATTGATGAATACCTTGAATTATACTCAGAAATAAGTTGGTAGTCAGAGTGGATGCAACAGAACTATTATAGTGATTAACTTTTCTGTGATTTATACTTCAGGCTATGTGGCAGTTGTGTTCTCTGCCTTTAATCTTTTTCTGTAAGTCCTGTTTTTCAGCTCTAAATTATCATTTCTGTTTCTGGTTCCCCTTCTTTTTAATTGTAGAGTTATCACACTGTGGGAGTTTATTAAAAATTAAGGTGGGGGCTTTGGGGGACAGGGGAGTGTGGCTTAGCTAAATCAGAGATCGACATGTAAGCTTCTTTTATTCCCTGTCCCTGTCTGCCAGGTAGTCAGTGTTGGGGACTCCATTGGAATGTTGCTGCTTTAAGAAACTTTGCAGTTACTCTTTTCTAACTATTGGATTTTGTTAAAATGAAGCATTATTGGTAGGTACAAAATAGTTAGGGGGAGGTTAAGAATAGTACAGGAAATAGAGAAGCCAAAGGACTCACATGTGTGACCCATGGGCATGAACTAAGTGGGGGAATGCTGGAGGGAAGGGGATATCAGCAGAGGGGTATAAAGAGGAGAAAAAAGAATGGGATAACTGTAATAGTATAATCAATAAAATATACTTAAAAATTAAAATGAAGCACACATATATTTTCTTTTCATCAGTCTTTTCTCAGCTAAGTTTGTATTTTCAGATTAATTTTAACTGCTTTTACAAAAAGCATATGCTGAAAAGAATTCCTATTAGATATGCCTGATTGGAGCCTTTTTTGCACCCAGTGAGTGGCAGAAGCACTCACTAGCACTTGCCTTTGGGAAATAGTGCATATGTTTGGGCAGTTAGAAAAGTAGACTCTTTTTTTTAATGGAAAGAAGACAAATAGCCACAGTTTAATTAACCTAGCAGAAAATTTAACAGCGTAGTTATTGTAACATTGTTCATGGCAACCTATTTTCCACTATTTTTAGCTACAGTTATTTTTATTTTGGAGGAATACTTTTATCAATGATAGCTTTTATGGCAGCTTACACTTAACGAATGATAATCCTGATGTCTGTCACTATTACCTACATGATACATAGAGTAGGGTTATTGCTTTGTCTTGTGTGGATGTTTTAATATCCCTGATGTTATTGTAAG